GTATATGAGACGGGACTATTTGCGACGGCACACTTGCCGTCTCAAAAAGCCACTTTTTTGCGACGGCAGAAAATGCCGTCTCAAAAAAGCAAAGTATTTGTGACGGCACCGTTTGCCGTCTCAAAAAAGGAGAGCATTTGCGACGGCACAATTTGCCGTCTTAAAAAAGCAGAGTATTTGCGACGCAGAAAATACCGTCGCAAATGCTCTCATTTTTTGAGACGGCAATTGTGCCGTCGCAAATACTCTGCTTTTTTGAGACGGCATTTTCTGCCGTCGCAAAAAAGTGGCTTTTTGAGACGGCAAGTGTGCCGTCGCAAATAGTCCCGTCTCATATACCTACTTTTCTTGTAGTGAACCCAAAATCAAAATTATTAATTAATTTGAAAGAAAACTTCTAAAACAAAATAAAATAACTTTTTTCCAAATAGAATTTATGAGTAATTTTTCCGTTATTTTATACTTAAAAATGCTACAAAAGATTTTTTACGGAGGCAGATAACCAACGCCTTGGAGTAAAAGCCCCAAATAGAGATTCACTCAGGCCCTTGTGGGTGTAAAACATTTGGTGATATATATTGCAATTTCCAAATAAAGTTCCAGAAAGTGTTATAGGAAAGAGAGTAATGAAGAGGTTGAGAAGCGAATTTGGTTTTATTTTTCACCGTGAACGTAAATATCCTGCTAAAGGATGTATATCTTATATTTTTATTCTTTTATTCACTGCTTTATTATGGGTTTGAATCCATGATTTTGCACAATAATTTGTATAGAATTCCTCAAAATACAAATAAACAGAAATTTCTTGTAAAATATTATTATGGAAAAGAATAGTGAATTGACCAAAGGTGAGTTGTTGAAGGTCTTGTCATTGTTCTTAATGTTAATATCAACGAGCACTTGAAATTAAAATTGCAAAAATTACTTATCAATTGTCCTTTTAAAAAAAATTACAAAATTGTAAATTTTTTTATAATTTTGATTATTAATATTTATGAAGTTTATTACTTATTTGTAATTTTTTTTTAAAATCTTACACCGAATTGAAATTCTCCCATTAAAATTTCCTCTGAAATTTAACCCAAAAAAAGAAAAAAGAAAAACTAACACAACTTATAAACTCCTATTATTCATTGATGTGATACTCAAAAATACAATTTTGGAAATTCAAATAGGACCTAATAAGAATAACTCGTGTAAGTAAATATATAACACACACTAGAGGTAGGTGTGTGCAATTTGAAATTGAATATGGTAATTATGGTAGTTATTTGAAACAATTGGAGAGAATTGGAGCTAATTTATAACAATTATCATGTTTTGTGGGCATTTTTAAAAGGAAAAAAATTGTAACAAATATACCAATAGAGCTGTTCGCTTTATATATTAATATATATATATAAATATTTGTATAATATATTCAAAGTAAAAAAAAGCAGAAATTTCCTGGAAAATATGGCAAGAGTGGAGAGAAAAGTGAAAGTAACATGTGGCCTGCGTATGCTGAATAATTGGACACTCAATATATAGTGGCCATATCTACTTCATTGATCTCAAGACAATACAATACAATATATCTCCCACCTGTTAGGTTTTGCATGACCATGAATAGATCAATGCAACCTGTTGCAATTCTTTTCTTCCTTTTTGTCTTTCTCACCATAACATCCGTTCATTTTAGCTTCTGCAATGCAAACCATGATGTGGTCATGTGCATGGAGAGTGAGAGACAAGCTCTTTCTGCCTTCAAGCAAGGCCTAGTAGATCCTTCAAACCGACTCTATTCTTGGGAAGTCGAAGATGATTGCTGCAAGTGGGAAGGAGTTGTTTGCAACAACTTAACTGGCCATGTCCTCGAGCTCCATCTTCAAAATCCTAATACTTCATTTGATTTTGATTATGAGCTTTATGGCTATTGGTTTAAGAGGTCAGCATTGAGAGGTGAAATCAATCCTTCTTTGCTAAATTTGAAGCACCTCAAGTACTTGGATCTAAGTCTGAATGATTTTGGAGGAATACCAATCCCATCCTTCATTGAATCTTTGGCAAGTCTGCGATGTCTTAACTTGTCTGAAGCTGGATTTGCAGGATCAATTCCTCATCAACTTGGAAATCTGTCGAGTTTACGTTTTCTGAGTCTTAAAAGTTTAAATTTTGATTTTGGCTTTGATTTTAGTTCGATGTATGTTGAGAACCTTCAATGGCTTCTTGGTCTTTCCCACTTGGAACACCTTGACCTAAGCTACGTGAACCTTACCAAGGCTCCCAACTGGCTGTAGGTAATTAACAAACTCCCTTCTTTAGTAGAGTTACATTTGTCTAGTTGCGAACTTGATCGCATTCCTCATCTACTCGATGTTAATTTTACATCTCTTGTCGTCCTAGATCTTTCATTGAACTACTTTTACTCTGTAATACCCAGGTGGATCTTTAGCCTTAGTAGCCTCGTTTCTCTTGATCTACGCATGAATTTTTTTGTAGGCAGGCTTGAAGGTTTTAGAGAAAATGGATTTGAAGGTCCATTTCCTAAAGTCTTCCAGAACATGACCAGTCTTGAATTTCTTGATCTATCAAATAATGAACTTGAGGGTCCATTTCCTTTGCTTTTGTCCAACATGACCAGTCTTCAACATCTTGATCTATCTAGTAATAAACTAGAGGGAAGGCTACAAAAATTCTTGGGAAATCTTTGCAACTTGAGTTTTGTTGATCTGTCATTCAACAACTTTACCGGGGAATTGCTTATAAGTTCATCTAAATGTGTAGTATATGCTTTGGAGACATTGTCCTTGTCTGGGAATCATCTTTCTGGTCATTTACCTGATGAATTTGAACAATTTAACAATTTGCGATACTTCAGTCTCAGGGATAATTTGCTTTCTGGTTCCATTCCAACCACTATAGGAAGATTGGCATTGTTAGAAATATTGGATTTACAAAGAAATCAACTAAATGGAACTCTTCCCCAAAGTTTTGGACAACTTTCAAAGCTGAAAACTCTTGATGTGTCTAATAATTTGTTGGAAGGCATTGTGTCAGAAGTTCACTTCACCAATCTCATCAATCTGAGGAAATTATATGCCTCTGGAAACCGGTTGACTTTAAAGGTGAGTCCTGACTGGATCCCTCCTTTTCAACTTAAAGAAATAAAACTTGCTTCATGGCATTTGGGCCCAAGGTTCCCCACGTGGCTCCAATCACAAAAGGGCCTTGAGGACCTAGACCTGGCCTACACTGGAATATTAGATGCCATACCAATTTGGTTTTGGAACTTATCTTCCTCCCTTTATTTTCTAGATCTCTCCCACAACCAAATCCATGGTGAGATTCCATATCTTCTTGCTCCTCCTGAAGGCCAAAATATTTACTTGAATTCCAACCATTTTAATGGTCTTTTACCCCATATTTCTTCCGATTTGTATGACCTTGATCTTTCCAACAATTCATTTTCTGGGGATATCTCCCACTTCCTATGTGAAAAGAAGGACAAACAACAAAATCTGGTATTTCTTGATTTAGGAGAAAACCTTCTGTCAAGTGAAATTGCTAATTGCTGGATGGGTTGGCAATCACTAAAAGTCATAGAAATGGGAAACAACAATCTAACAAGGAATATCCCAAAATCCATGGGGCTTTTAGGAGGTTTGAAATCGTTACATTTGCGCAACAACCATCTCTCTGTAGAAATTTCTTCGTCTTTGTAGAACTGGTCAAATTTATGGGTGGTTGACCTTAGCGAGAACGAGTTTCAAGGAAGCATACCCACATGGATGGCGGAATGGCTACCAGATTTGATTGTTCTTACCCTTCGTTCAAATAAGTTAGATGGCATAATACCTCAAGAACTTTGTCACCTCTCCTCTCTTCAAGTCTTGGATCTTGCTGACAACAATTTGTCCGGAGCAATACCACGGTGTATCAACAAATTTATTGCCATGTCCTTAAACCCAAATGAAAATGCCATGAATGCTTCTCCTTCTCCTGTTGCTATTGTTGCTTTTGCTCCCACTAGTCGCATAGATTTCACAAAGAATGAAGTTTTGGTGACAAAAGGAAGAAAATATCAATATGACAAGACTCTTCCTCTTGTGATATCAATATGACAAGACTCTTTCTCTTGTGACTAGCTTGGACCTTTCGAACAACATCATATCTGGAAAGATCCCTGTGGAACTAACTAGCCTCCAAGGATTGCGTTTTCTGAATTTGTCCGGAAATCATATAACTGGTGTGATTCCAAAGAATATAGGTAACATGGGGTTGTTGGAATCTCTTGATTTATCCAGAAACCAACTCTACGGTGAAATTCCTCCATGTCAGGTTTGAACTTTTTAAGTTACTTGAATTTGTCTTATAATAACTTGTTTGGAAAAATTCCATCGAGTGCTCAACTCCAGAGCTTCCACGCTTCTAGCTTCACCGGCAACGAGCTTTGTGGACCTCCACTCACAAAGAATTGTAGCAATAATGGCAAAACACCTGAGGGGAATGAAGGAGATAACGGATGTGCTAGATCTGAAGTGGATTGGTTTTATGTGTTTATGGCTTTAGGATTTGCGGTTGGTTTTTGGGGCGTCTCTGCTCCTATATTGTTTGTTAAGTCATGGAGGTATGCATATTTTCGATTTCTAGATAATGTCTGGACTAGACTTATGTTGCTCTATGTGAGTAAATGTGTTTACATTGTACAAGTCATGTAGAAGTCTTCTATTTGTGTCTTCTAAACATTATGAATAAATTTGTTTTCTTGGAATGTCTTCTTTATGCATAAAGTTCTTGTGATTTTACAATGAAAGTTTCCATATCATGGTTAAAGTTTTTGTCAATAAGTAGCTTATGATTTTGTGTAAAATGAAAAGTCTAAGAATTATTTGAGAAGTCAAAAAACTTCTAAAAGAAAAATTTCTTTAAATTTGGAAATTATAGCAAATTCAGAGCCGGACCATGGAGTAGTTTTCCCCTAAAACCCCAAACACAATAAAAAATGAAATGTGTGTATATATATAAGTTCTACATAAAACTTTGTTTTCAACTTGCTTTCAATCATAATATCTTAAAGAGCATACCGTAGAATAGAACACATTTTATCCCATACTTGTCATGTATATAATCTTCAAGCAGTTAATCTTTTAATTAGGAATTTGTAGTTCAAGAAATTGAAAAACCTTGTTGCCAATTATTCAGTTTCATTCTTAACAGACTGAGGAGGAAATTAAGATATCCGTTCATGTCCTTTTGTTAAATGTTTAGGTACCTCCTTCATAATTCCAATTGTCTTCCAAATTAGGCTCTTTGTATGCATAATATCGTCTTTCTGGGAGAGGACAGCCTTGGTAGGAGTTGTTGTCAAAGCAGTGCCACAAAAGCTTGTGCCAATACGGATCCTGCAAACACATATGACTACCGTCTCAGCGACATACTCTACTAACATATTACTACACTAAACGTCAAAACAAGTAATGAAACTTTGGTATTTGAAATGAGACCCAGTAGAATAATATGATAGGAATAATGGTAATTTAGACAAAATTCTACCCACATCAATATATATCACTATATGAAGTTGCAAGAATACAAAATTCGGTTCAATTTTCGGTCCTAGCAGCATTACTCTTTTCAAATAGTGCACTCTCCAACTCAGATTGGAATCAACTAAAACAAAAACAAGATTGATGCAAGTAGATTGCATGAACAATGTTAATGAGGGAAAAAATAACCATCCCAAGGTCAAACTGCATGCAGGTCAACGAGCATGCAATCATACATAATAAAATTACCAGTTTATGTTCTTTAGAGAGTCTGGATAGTTCCTTCGATAAACTCATATTCCCAGCTTTCTATATACTCTAAAAATTTCGTGCCAATTTAACGACATTCACAAACTATAGTAACAAAGTTCTAAACATAAGATACCCTTAAAAAAATGAAAAAAAAGGAAAGAGTTCTAAAGATAAACTATGTACCTTAAGGCCATGTTTGTTTGGGCGGACTGGATTAGCATTCCCATGACTAATAGTCCTAGGATTACGAATCCGTTGGATTATGTATCCTATCTTAATTAATAGTCAAGTTTAAAATAATTAGTCCCTAGTTTAACCAAATATCGGATTAATAATTTTATTGGACTATTAGTCCAATCCCAAGCTCATGTCCACCCAAACAAACATGGCCTAAAGGTAAATGATAGAGGGAACTTGATACCAAATTGTTGGAGTGTATGGTACAATTTTCTTTGATTGTGAAAATTACTCAAGCTTATAGTTTTCCATTACTATGGATGTTAGATTTCAAGTACCATAAAATACTTCAGATGCATCAGTAGCTAGCAAAATACAATATTCACAAATATAAGGGATCCACATGTTAAAAATATGTTGACCGTAAAATGCTGATATTGAAGCTTGAAAAAATTTCAAGATATTGAAGTATAATGAAAGTAATAAATACTAGGTATCAATATCGAAATTTCTACCATATATAGTCATTAAACATATGGATAACGTGGATTTCGTAGTGATTTTACATTTGGCAAAGAAAATTTATTAACCAATGGACAATTGCAGTGATGTTCATAGTAGCCTAAATTTTGTGTGGTTGTGCGTGCATGTTTGTGCCTTTCAATTACAGGGAAAAAGAAAAGAAAAGAAGAAGACAGAAAGTCCTTCAAAACAACAATCTATGTTGTTTTGGTATTAGAAAAAGAAAAGCTCAGTTGAAAAATAAGTGAAAATTTCTCTTCCCTGCCTACTGGAAAATGAACAAGCAAAGTTTTAATCTATTTTTCTTTTACTACCATCGCTTAATCCAAACAGACTTTTCGCTAGAAAATTCTTGAACTTACCATCACAAACATACAATGTCAAAGAGAATATTATCTAATAAAGAGACAATGTCCTAAATAAGTGCACTTTTTGGACTAAAAAATTAAGGAAAAAAATAGGGCAAATTACATATACACCCCTCGAGGTTTGGCTAAATTACAAATACCCCCCTGAGGTTTGAGAAATTACGAATTCCCCCCTGAATGCTATATTTACATAAGAAATTAGGGGGTAATTTGTTATGAAATATAAACCTCAGGGGGTAAATTGTTATGAAAATACAAACCTCAGGGGGCGGGATGTAATTTCCGAAACCTCAGGGGGGTATCTGTAATTTTACCAAACCTCGAGGGGTGTATATGTAATTTGCCCAAAAAAATATGGATGTTTGGGTTAACTTTTTGACTTTTTTGGGAAAAATGTGTATTAAAATATTGTATAAATTAGTATGTAAGGGAAAATTAGGATTGGAAGTTGTGCAGCCGTAATTTTTGACTTTTGTTGAATAGTGATAATTTTTTAACTTTTTGAGTAACTTTTTGACTTTTTGGTTTTTTTTCAACTCGCCAAACTTGGCCATTACACTTTCCGGCCCTATAGTTTGACCCAAATTTCACTTTGGTCACTATTGTTTCAATTGGAACAATGTTAATTAACCCTAGGCTTTAAATCAAGTTCCAATTTGACCATTCGGTCAAAATTATCATCAAAATGGTTTGTGTACTCCTCACGTATTACAATATTGTGAGTTCAACATCCAATTTGGATGGAAGCAACAAATTGAAACTGGGCTTGAAGTATGGAGTTAACATTGTTCAAATTGAAATAATAAAGTCCAAAGGGAAATTTTGGACTAATTACAGGGTGAAAAGTGTAGTTTACCCAAGCTTAAAATATGACGGATACATAAACAACATAAAGTACCTTACTGACAATGTGTGGGTTCCCAACTATGATAAGCAAGGACTTCGCCCTAGTAACCGCAACATTAAACCTCCTCGGATTTCTAAGAAAACCCAGACAATAGGTTTTATCAAACCCATTGTGTTTGGCTGTTGACCTCACAGTTGAAACAATTATAACTTCTCTCTCTTGTCCCTGGAATTGCTCAACACTCCCAACCTTAACACTGCCCATATCAAATGATTCCAATACTTTTGTTATCTTCACCACCTGTTGTCTATAAGGTGCTATTACCCCAATATCTTCCTCCCTTAGACCTTCACTTCCTCTAAGCTTCTTTACAATATCAACAACCTTGCTTGCCTCAATTCGATTAAACCATGACGGATCGTTGCCTTCTCTCTCATCGCAGCCTTGAATGCCAATGAAGAGAACAGGAAATTCTTTGTTAGGAAGGAGGCTTAGCCAACATTTCAAAGAAGAGGTATCTTCTTTACACGCAAGCAATTTCTGTCTGTAGAATAGCTTCGAAGGTACGTGTAGAATTGCAGGGTGACAACGGTAATTCCTCACTAATTTTGTGATGAAACTTTCATCCCTGTTGTGGTAATATTCACATTCAAAAAGTCTTTCCAGATAAGATTTTCCTAACCCGAAAACCTTTGCATCTTTGGAATATACTACCGGGCCTAGTTGCATGGGGTCTCCTGCAAGAACGACAACAGTTTCGCTTTCACAAAGATTGGATATAGGAACCATGGCTTCTGGTTCTGAAGCTTGGCCGGCCTCATCTAAGAAGACATGTGAGAAGTGGCCGCAACAAATACCTTCTACGTAAAGTAGTGATGAACTCATATAGGTGGAGATGATGACCCTATAATGCATTAAGGCCATGAGCGGTGGACATTTGAAAATGAAATCTTCAAAAAAGCAAAAGCGAATGTTATTAGCTTGAACATCCTCATAAGACCGGCTAGTTGCATTTAGCCTGAAAATCTCGTTCTCTTTGACCCCAACCGCTTCATTATTGACAAGTTTCTCCAAGATATGATCCGCTGCACTGTTTGAAGCAGCACAAACAAGAACATGAGCATCTTTTCTTGTTGCATATAGTTGTAAGATTGCTTCCACCAAAGTCATTGTTTTGCCTGTACCTGGAGCAAGTATCAAAATTTTGTTTCAATATGTTGTCGTAGTTAGCTTATGTTTCAGAAACACAAGGAAAATGACAAAAGAATTGGGAATGTTTGAAAATGTTTGGAAATAAAAACTAAAACCAATATAAATGTTAATACGTTCTTAATAATTAAATAATTGAATATGTTGATGTAGTTCCGCTTCTTGCTCTAAAATCATAAGGAGATTGATGCTCATAAAAAACTCATAACAGAAAAGGTTTAAAGGCCTAGCTGGGGAAGGGGGGCTTTCATTATAAGAAAAAACATGAAAAAAATGTAAAATTCTAATGTATCATGGATGAGAGAGAGAGAGAGAGAGAGATGACAATCTTTTTGTAAAGAGTACATTATGGTAATAAAGAAATAGAATAAATGACTTAATTGTGCTTTTTTATCTTCTCCTCTCTATCTCCCCTTTACTGTGTTTGGCTATTCCTAATAAGTGTCGAAACAACTCGGTTTCGTAGCATTATGGTGCATTTGGATTTTCGTACTCCACTAATGTTTTGTTTTGATTTTTCAAGAAACAAAAATGTTTCAGCCATTTTGATGGCAAAGAAATGAAATTTTGTTACTTGACCTGGAGGCCCATGGATGACATAGGGAGGAGCTCCTTCGCAACCAAGGATCGTCTCAACAGCTCGCTGCTGCTCCTCATTGAGAGGTGTGAAAGGCACGATTTGAGTCATTTTGATTAATCTTTTTGTTGATTGAGATGGAAAGAGAAAATTTGTATCTAAACTCTCTGCTGCTTGGACAGCATGATATAATCTTCGCATGTTCACCCTATTATATGAAAATCTAATGTTGTACAGAACTCCAACTTGATAATTCATATGGAAATTCTTGCTGAACTTCAGAAGCACATCGTCAGCCTCAATACGGTGGATGATGCCCTGCAAAATAGTTATTTATAAACCGGCCTGAAAACACAAAAGATAAATCACAAGTATTGCCCTCTCCTCCCTCCTCACCAGCCATCAGATATTGAAACTTGTTTCCTATTTTATGTAAACAAAAAAGAAGAAACTGACGACATCAAACGATCCCTAAGAGATGGACATGAATCTCCTTACAAGGGAGTAAACCTGGTGCCATAAAACTAATTAAAGAAATTTGCTAGTTTTATCTAATCCATAGAAGAAAAAAACTAGTAAAACAGATGAAATTTTTTCTTACATGAAAGTTTTATGCACTAAATTGGTCAAACTTCACATTGGTTCAGAAACATTCATGGACAAACAGATTGACACAGACAATTTATCAGTGCAGCTATCCTTGAATTTCAGGGGTAAAGAGCATAAAGAAAACTTAAATAATCATCAATTCAAATCCCAAAATTGAGTTATGAAAAAATGGTACCAAGAAAATTCTTTGCAACTTGAGTTTTGTTGATCTGTCATTCAACAACTTTACCAGGGAATTGCTTATAAGTTCATCTAAATGTGTAGTATATGCTTTGGAGACATTGTCCTTGTCTGGGAATCATCTTTCTGGTCATTTACCTGATGAATTTGAACAATTTAAAAATTTGCGATACTTTAGTCTCAGGGATAATTTGCTTTCTGGTTCCATTCCAACCACTATAGGAAGATTGGCATTGTTAGAAATATTGGATTTACAAAGAAATCAACTAAATGGAACTCTTCCCCAAAGTTTTGGACAACTTTCAAAGCTGAAAACTCTTGATGTGTCTAATAATTTGTTGGAAGGCATTGTGTCAGAAGTTCACTTCGCCAATCTCATCAATCTGAGGAAATTATATGCCTCTGGAAACCGGTTGACTTTAAAGGTGAGTCCTGACTGGATCCCTCCTTTTCAACTTAAAGAAATAAAACTTGCTTCATGGCATTTGGGCCCAAGGTTCCCCACGTGGCTCCAATCACAAAAGGGCCTTGAGGACCTAGACCTGGCCTACACTGGAATATTAGATGCCATACCAATTTGGTTTTGGAACTTATCTTCCTCCCTTTATTTTCTAGATCTCTCCCACAACCAAATCCATGGTGAGATTCCATATCTTCTTGCTCCTCTTGAAGGCCAAAATATTTACTTGAATTCCAACCATTTTAATGGTCTTTTACCCCATATTTCTTCCGATTTGTATGACCTTGATCTTTCCAACAATTCATTTTCTGGGGATATCTCCCACTTCCTATGTGAAAAGAAGGACAAACAACAAAATCTGGTATTTCTTGATTTAGGAGAAAACCTACTGTCAGGTGAAATTCCTGATTGTTGGATGAGTTGGCAATCACTAAAAATCATAGAAATGGGAAACAACAATCTAACAGGGAATATCCCAAGATCCATGGGGCTTTTAGGAGGTTTGCAATCATTACATTTGCGCAACAACCATCTCTCGGGAGAAATTTCTTCATCTCTACAAAATTGTATGAGTTTAGTGTTGGTTGACCTCGGTGAGAATGAGTTTCATGGAAGCATACCTACATGGATGGCGGAAAGGCTTCCATATTTGATTGTTCTTACCCTTCGTTCAAATAAGTTAGATGGCATAATACCTCCAGAACTTTGTCGCCTCTCCCATCTTCAAGTCTTGGATCTTGCTAACAACAATTTTTCTGGAGCAATACCATGGTGTATCAACAATTTTATTGCCATGGTAAGAAAAGAAAAACATGTGCATTCTATTGCAAATGAAAATCCCATGTATGAAAATGCTCCTTCTGCTGCTCCTTCTCCTTCTCCTTCTGTTATTTCTATTGTTGCTTCTGCTCCCTTTGGTAGCAAAGATTACTCAGAGAATGAAGTTTTGGTGACAAAAGGAAGTATATATCAATATGACAAGACTCTTTCTCTTGTGACTAGCTTGGACCTTTCGAACAACATCATATCTGGAAAGATCCCTGTGGAACTAACTAGTCTCCAAGGATTGCGTTTTCTGAATTTGTCCGGAAATCATATAACTGGTGTGATTCCAAAGAATATAGGTAACATGGGGTTGTTGGAATCTCTTGATTTATCCAGAAACCCTCCAAGCATGTCAGGTTTGAACTTTTTAAGTTACTTGAATTTGTCTTATAATAACTTGTTTGGAAAAATTCCATCGAGTGCCCAACTCCAGAGCTTCCACGCTTCTAGCTTCACCGGCAACAAGCTTTGTGGACCTCCACTCACAAAGAATTGTAGCAATAATGGCAAAACACCTGAGGGGAATGAAGGAGATAACGGATGTGCTAGATCTGAAGTGGATTGGTTTTATGTGTTTATGGCTTTAGGATTTGCGGTTGGTTTTTGGGGCGTCTCTGCTCCTATATTGTTTGTTAAGTCATGGAGGTATGCATATTTTCGATTTCTAGATAATGTCTGGACTAGACTTATGTTGCTCTATGTGAGTAAATGTGTTTACATTGTACAAGTCATGTAGAAGTCTTCTATTTGTGTCTTCTAAACATTATGAATAAATTTGTTTTCTTGGAATGTCTTCTTTATGCATAAAGTTCTTGTGATTTTACAATGAAAGTTTCCATATCATGGTTAAAGTTTTTGTCAATAAGTAGCTTATGATTTTGTGTAAAATGAAAAGTCTAAGAATTATTTGAGAAGTCGAAAAACTTCTAAAAGAAAAATTGCTTTAAATTTGAAAATTATAGCAAATTCAGAGCCGGACCATGGAGTAGTTTTCCCCTAAAACCCCAAACACAATAAAAAATGAAATGTGTGTATATATATAAGTTCTACATAAAACTTTGTTTTCAACTTGCTTTCAATCATAATATCTTAAAGAGCATACCGTAGAATAGAACACATTTTATCCCATACTTGTCATATATATAATCTTCAAGCAGTTAATCTTTTAATTATGAATTTGTAGTTCAAGAAATTGAAAAACCTTGTTGCCAATTATTCAGTTTCATTCTTAACAGACTGAGGAGGAAATTAAGATATCCGTTCATGTCCTTTTGTTAAGTGTTTAGGTACCTCCTTCATAATTCTAATTGTCTTCCAAATTAGGCTCTTTGTATGCATAATATCGTCTTTCTGGGAGAGGACAGCCTTGGTAGGAGTTGTTGTCAAAACAGTGCCACAAAAGCTTGTGCCAATAAGGATCCTGCAAACACATACGACTACCGTCTCAGCGACATACTCTACCAACAAATTACTACACTAAACGTCAAAACAAGTAATGAAACTTTGGTATTTGAAATGAGACCCAGTAGAATAATATGATAGGAATAATGGTAATTTAGACAAAATTCTACCCACATCAATATATCACTATATGAAGTTGCAAGAATACAAAATTCGGTTCTATTTTCGGTCCTAGCAGCATTACTCTTTTCAAATAGTCCACTCTCCAACTCAGATTGGAATCAACTAAAACAAAAACAAGATTGATGCAAGTAGATTGCATGAACAATGTTAATGAGGGAAAAAATAACCATCCCAAGGTCAAACTGCTTGCAGGTCAACGAGCATGCAATCATACATAATAAAATTACCAGTTTATGTTCTTTAGAGAGTCTGGATAGTTTCTTCGATAAACTCATATTCCCAGCTTTCTATATACTCTAAAAATTTCATGCCAATTTAACGACATTCACAAACTATAGTAACAAAGTTCTAAACATAAGATACCCTTAAAAAAATGAAAAAAAACGAAAGAGTTCTAAAGATAAACTATGCACCGTAAAGGTAAATGATAGGGGGAACTTGATCCCAAATTGTTGGAGTGTATGGTACAATTTTCTTTGATTGTGAAAATTACTCAAGCTTATAGTTTTCCATTACTATGGATGTTAGATTTCAAGTACCATAAAATACTACAGATGCATCAGTAGCTAGAAAAATACAATATTCACAACTATAAGGGATCCACATGTTAAAAATATGTTGACCGTAAAATGCTGATATTGAAGCTTGAAAAAATTTCAAGATCCTGAAGTATAATGAAAGTAATAAATACTTGGTATCAATATCGAAATTTCTACCATATATAAACATATGGATAACGTGGATTTCGTAGTGTTTTTACATTTGGCAAAGAAAATTTATTAACCAATGGACAATTGCAGTGATGTTCATAGTAACCTAAATTTTGTGTGGTTGTGCGTGCATGTTTGTGCCTTTCAATTACAGGGAAAAAGAAAAGAAAAGAAGAAGACAGAAAGTCCTTCAAAACAACAATCTATGTTGTTTTGGTATTAGAAAAAGAAAAGCTCAGTTGAAAAATAAGTGAAAATTTCTCTTCCCTGCCTACTGGAAAATGAACAAGCAAAGTTTTAATCTATTTTTCTTTGACTACCATCGCTTAATCCAAACAGACTTTTCGCTAGAAAATTCTTGAACTTACCATCACAAACATACAATGTCAAAGAGAATATTATCTAATAAAGAGACAATGTCCTAAATAAGTGCACTTTTTGGACTAAAAAATTAAGGAAAAAAATAGGGCAAATTACATATACACCCCTCGAGGTTTGGCTAAATTACAAATACCCCCCTGAGGTTTGAGAAATTACGAATTCCCCCCTGAAAAAATATGGATGTTTGAGTTAACTTGTTGACTTTTTATGGAAAAATATGTATTAAAAAATTGTATAAATTAGTTTTATGAGAAAATTAGGATTGGAAGTTGTGCAACCGTAATTTTTGACTTTTGTTGAATAGTGATAATTTTTTAACTTTTTGAGTAACTTTTTGACTTTTTGATTTTTTTTTCAACTCGCCAAACTTGGTCATTACACTTTCCGGCCCTATAGTTTGACCCAAATTTCACTTTGGTCACTATTGTTTCAATTGGAACAATGTTAATTAACCCTAGGCTTTAAATCAAGTTCCAATTTGACCATTCGATCAAAATTATCATCAAAATGGTTTGTGTACTCCTCACGTATTGCAATATTGTGAGTTCAACATCCAATTTGGATGGAAGCAACAAATTGAAACTGGCTTGAAGCATAGAGTTAACATTGTTCAAATTGAAATAATAAAGTCCAAAGTGAAATTTTGGACAAATCACAGGGTGAAAAGTGTAATTTACCCAAGCTTAAAATATAACGGATACATAAACAACATAAAGTACCTTACTGACAATGTGTGGGTTCCCAACTATGATAAGCAAGGACTTCGCCCTAGTAACCGCAACATTAAACCTCCTCGGATTGCTAAGAAAACCCAGACAATAGGTTTTATCAAACCCATTGTGTTTGGCTGTTGACCTCACAGTTGAAACAATTATAACTTCTCTCTCTTGTCCCTGGAATTGCTCAACACTCCCAACCTTAACACTGCCCATATCAAATGATTCCAATACTTTAGTTATCTTCACCACCTGTTGTCTATAAGGTGCTATTACCCCAATATCTTCCTCCCTTAGACCTTCACTTCCTCTAAGCTTCTTTACAATATCAACAACCTTGCTTGCCTCAATTCGATTAAACCATGACGGATCGTTGCCTTCTCTCTCATCGCAGCCTTGAATGCCAATGAAGAGAACAGGAAATTCTTTGTTAGGAAGGAGGCTTAGCCAAGATTTCAAAGAAGAGGTATCTTCTTTACACGCAAGCAATTTCTGTCTGTAGAATAGCTTCGAAGGTACGTGTAGAATTGCAGGGTGACAACGGTAATTCCTCACTAATTTTGTGATGAAACTTTCATCCCTGTTGTGGTAATATTCACATTCAAAAAGTCTTTCTAGATAAGATTTTCCTAACCCGAAAACCTTTGCATCTTTGGAATATACTACCGGGCCTAGTTGCATGGGGTCTCCTGCAAGAACGACAACAGTTTCGCTTTCACAAAGATTGGATATAGGAACCATGGCTTCTGGTTCTGAAGCTTGGCCGGCCTCATCTAAGAAGACATGTGAGAAGTGGCCGCAACAAATACCTTCTACGTAAAGTAGTGATGAACTCATATACGTGGAGATGATGACCCTATAATGCATTAAGGCCATGAGCGGTGGACATTTGAAAATGAAATCTTCAAAAAAGCAAAAGCGAATGTTGTTAGCTTGAACATCCTCATAAGACCGGCTAGTTGCATTTAGCCTGAAAATCTCGTTCTCTTTGACCCCAACCGCTTCATTATTGACAAGTTTCTCCAAGATATGATCCGCTGCACTGTTTGAAGCAGCACAAACAAGAACATGAGCATCTTTTCTTGTTGCATATAGTTGTAAGATTGCTTCCACCAAAGTCATTGTTTTGCCTGTACCTGGAGCAAGTATCAAAATTTTGTTTCAATATGTTGTCGTAGTTAGCTTATGTTTCAGAAACACAAGGAAAATGACAAAAGAATTGGGGAATGTTTGAAAATGTTTGGAAATAAAAACTAAAACCAATATAAATGTTAATACGTTCTTAATAATTAAATAATTGAATATGTTGATGTAGTTCCGCTTCTTGCTCTAAAATCATAAGGAGATTGATGCATATAAAAAACTCATAACAGAAAAGGTTTAAAGGCCTAGCTGGGGAAGGGGGGTTTTCATGATAAGAAAAAACATGAAAAAAATGTAAAATTCTAATGTATCATGGATGAGAGAGAGAGAGAGAGAGAGAGAGAGAGAGAGAGATGACAATCTTTTTGTAAAGAGTACATTATGGTAATAAAGAAATAGAATAAATGACTTAATTGTGCTTTTTTATCTTCTCCTCTCTATCTCCCCTTTACTGTGTTTGGCTATTCCTAATAAGTGTCGAAACAACTCGGTTTCGTAGCATTATGGTGCATTTGGATTTTCGTACTCCACTAATGTTTTGTTTTGATTTTTCAAGAAACAAAAATGTTTCAGCCATTTTGATGGCAAAGAAATGAAATTTTGTTACTTGACCTGGAGGCCCATGGATGACATAGGGAGGAGCTCCTTCGCAACCAAGGATCGTCTCAACAGCTCGCTGCTGCTCCTCATTGAGAGGTGTGAAAGGCACGATTTGAGTCATTTTGATTAATCTTTTTGTTGATTGAGATGGAAAGAGAAAATTTGTATCTAAACTCTCTGCTGCTTGGACAGCATGATATAATCTTCGCATGTTCACCCTATTATATGAAAATCTAATGTTGTACAGAACTCCAACTTGATAATTCATATGGAAATTCTTGCTGAACTTCAGAAGCACATCGTCAGCCTCAATACGGTGGATGATGCCCTGCAAAATAGTTATTTATAAACCGGCCTGAAAACACAAAAGATAAATCACAAGTATTGCCCTCTCCTCCCTCCTCACCAGCCATCAGATATTGAAACTTGTTTCCTATTTTATGTAAACAAAAAAGAAGAAACTGACGACATCAAACGATCCCTAAGAGATGGACATGAATCTCCTTACAAGGGAGTAAACCTGGTGCCATAAAACTAATTAAAGAAATTTGCTAGTTTTATCTAATCCATAGAAGAAAAAAACTAGTAAAACAGATGAAATTTTTTCTTACATGAAAGTTTTATGCACTAAATTGGTCAAACTTCACATTGGTTCAGAAACATTCATGGACAAACAGATTGACACAGACAATTTATCAGTGCAGCTATCCTTGAATTTCAGGGGTAAAGAGCATAAAGAAAACTTAAATAATCATCAATTCAAATCCCAAAATTGAGTTATGAAAAAATGGTACCAAGAAAATCAATAAAAGTCGCATATTCTTGTAGGCTCTATATAAAGCTCTGTACCCGATTAAGTAAAATGGGTTTTGGGCTGCATGGAATTCATTACATATAAAGAAGTAGAGCAACAAAATTTATGCGGCATGTTCAAGCATAAGCTGATGAATTTCAACAACAAAAAAAGGAAGTTCCAAGGGACACAAAAAACACTTTGCGTTTGGTAGAGTTTTAGAATTATGATTTGAGAATAGAGTTGTATTTTGAGTTTGTGAGTTTTGAAATTATGATTTGAGTGTAAAAAATTTGTTTAGTTATGAGTTGTGAAAAGAGTTTTGAATTGAGTGATGTGACATTTAAAAAAAAAAAAAAACAGGGGGGAAAAAAAAAAAAAAACACCGACACTGTTCCGTTCAACTGGCCGGATGTCCGGAGGGACATCTAGGAGGATGACCGGGTAGACGTGTTTTCAAAGTGAGTGTAAAACTAATTTTTGAAATCTATAACCAAACACCACGTGCAAACCAAGTGGTGGAATTAAAATTGCAAAGCTCTACCAAATGGATTTTTCTTTCCTTTATTTATTTATTATTATTATTATTTTTTTGTTTTTGTTTTGTTTTCAATTAGTAATCAGCAATGGCTAACCTGGTATGGAGGAGAAGTATCATTTTCACCTTGAAAGGCAAGCATTGCAAAAGCAAAATCACCATGCACAAGCGAAGGCCTTCTCTCAGCGAGCCCAGGAACGGCGAGTGCCAACAAATTAGCCCCTTTCCTCCTCATGGTAATGCGCTCCATGTCATGACACCTCATTTCTTTCTGAAAAATAACAACAATTTTAGACCCAACATCTATAACAAGGCCATACCATACAATTTAACTCACCAACCATTAGAATTTAGAACTCACCTCCAAATGTAGCTCTTCCATGTTAAGCAATGCATTGAAGTAAGTAGCATAGTTCTCCTTCATAAGACCTTGTGTAATAACCTCAGGGACTTGCTTATTCTCCACTAGCTCTCTAACGCCCATTGGAATTTCAAACAGAGGAAGTTTATAATCTAGCCCTCGGGTTTTCGTCTTAGCAGACTCATTAGTGGCAAATTGTTTTCTTCTCGGAAATCTTGAATAAGGCTTCTTTGAAGCCAAGGACCGCGAGATCTTGTCTTCAGCCAATACAAAAACTACCCGTTCAATCCTTTCATCTCCTACATCAAAATGTACCACGGATGTGTGCAGACCAATGTCTTTCGGTTTGCAAGATAACCAAATAGTTTGAGTCTGGAGTGGCTGAAGAACTCTATCCTCGAGAGAAAATCCCTCCAAAAAGTCTTGAATGTAGTCCGCATCTGAATTGACTGAAGGTGGTTTGAGGAGGGATAAAGTGAACGAATCTGCGGGATTTGAACAGAAAAAGTTGACTCCCCAGAGTTCCACCGGTTCACTTGTTGTGTTTTGTATGGTAATTGGATGCGTGAAAGTTTCTCCAACAAAAACAGACAGAGGCTTTCCTCGTATGAAGGGAAATGGAATGGAGATAAGAACCGGACCCTCTTCATTTGGGTCATAAGCACACAAAGATTTGTCATCCTCAAAGTCAAGAAATCCGATTTCTCCCTTGTCTCCAATGACGGAGAAATCATCATCACACCGTTCCCTTCCAATCAAACTCATTGTTACTTGATGTTTGTACCAACCAGGTTCTTAGAATGCTGATCAAACACTAAGAATAGTAAAATAAACACACTGAACAAAATTTATGATTGTAGTAAATTCTATAAAATGATAATAAAACAATCCATCTGTAGAATGATTGTATCTTGTTCTGTTCCGGATTATAATCTCTAATGAAAAATATAGCCCCGTGAGCAAAAGCTCCTGAATTAGCACATAATATTCATAGGCCAAGGATAATTAGATGATCAGACAACCTTAAAAAACAGAGAGAGATAGAAAGAGGAGAGAGAAGAAGAATAAGAAGATAAACAGAGATTCATTCGTTGGCTATCATTTTCAACTATTCCCACTAGAGTTGTGTTATACATAAACAGATGTTTAGCAGATTTTATTTTTTTTCATTAGACACAAATATATCGAACCCACATTAATAAATTCGCTGTCATTTTTCATTCCGACTATAAACTGATGCCATTGTCAGGCTAAGAAACTTGTGATCAAATACCAAGAATGGAAACTATACTTGTTTGCTGGAAATTAATGTAATGAAAGGTAATAACACAACCATACATACCATCTATATTAAAGAACCCACAAAAGTTACAAAAAGTTAACCCATGAAAGCAAAAAATCAGAAAAAAAAAAAAAAAAAACAAAAAAAAAAAAAACAAACAGAAAATGAACCCACCAAGATTCGCAGGGGGCATAGAGCCGATGAAGGCCGAGGCGTGGGTTTTGGAAATGGAAAAGCTGTTCGAGATCTTTCCAAGCATCGACAGTCAGAAGGTGACGTTAGCAGCATTCACGTTAGACGACGACGCTCGAAGGTGGTGGATGATGATTTGGGAGGCTAATCCTGGTTTAACTTGGGCCAGATTTTTAGAACTGTTTTATAACAAGCATTTCCCGCTTAGCGTTCGAGATCGCAAGACCACAGAGTTCCAGACTCTGACACAAGGCAGCAGAGCAGTGGCAGAGTACGACCGTGCCTTCACCGAATTGGCAAGATACGCGCCTCATATGGTCAGTGATGAGTATAGGAAAGCTAGGAAGTTTGAAAGTGGATTACGTGGACCGATCCAGGATCGGGTCAACATGCTCAATATGCCGACTTACGCCGAGGCGTTAGACAAGGCCATCTTGGCAGAAGCTAATCTAAACCGATACCAAAGTTCAGGAGAGAGTCAGAGGAAGAGACAGAACTATGAAGGTCGTCGGGTGCCATTTAATGCGAAGAAGAAGGCGAATGTGGGCAGTTCCAGCAACTCAGATCGGGATGAAAATGCTAAGCCGACGTGTGCGAGTTGTGGGAAGCCGCATCTAGGGGTTTGTCGCTGGGCGACAGGAGCCTGCTTTGAATGTGGCGAGATAGGCCACCGCGTGAAAGACTGTCCAAAGGCAAGAGTCGATGATGGTAAGAAAAATGGGAGCACCTCGGGCTCTGCACAAGGAAGCAACGTCGGAAGGACACAGATGAGACAGGGCAGAGTTTTTGCTCTAGTGCCAGGAGACACCGAGAATGCTGAAACAGTAGTGTCAGGTACACTCTCAATTTGCTCTCAAGTTGCATACGTCTTGATTGATTCGGGCTCTACACATTCTTTTGTATCTGTTAAATTTGTCGAGAAGTTGAATAGACCGTTAGAACCCCTCGATTATGTGCTATCTGTATCTACTCCATCTGGGGAAACTATAATTATTGCATCCATATATAGGGCGTGTGTTGTGGTGATTGAGGATGTAGAATTATTATCTGATTTGATGCCATTAAGCATGACTCACTTCGACGTCATATTGGGAATGGATTGGTTAGTAACGTATCATGCATCCATTAATTGTGTTACTAAGAGCGTTACATTGAAGACCCCGAACAAAGCCGAGGTCTTTTTCCAGGGTAAGGGAGTAGTACCCCCACCCTACTTAATCTCATCCATGAAAGCATATAAGTTAATCCAAAAGGGGTGTCAAGGTTATTTGTGCAGTATATTAAGTGATTTGAATGGAAGTGTTGAGTTAGCCGGCATACCAGTTGTTAAGGAATTTCCCGACGTCTTTCCAAATGAGCTGCCTGGCCACCTAGTCGATAGAGAAATAGAGTTTACTGTGGATCTCGTGTCGGGAATGCAACCTATCTCCAAAACACCCTATAGGATGGCCCCCGCTGAACTTAGAGAACTGAAACTACAGTTACAAGAATTGTTGGATAAGGGATTCATTAGGCCGAGCACTTCACCGTGGGGAGCACCCGTTTTATTTGTTAAGAAAAAGGATGGCACACTTCGCCTCTGCATTGATTACAGAGAACTTAATAAGGTAACCATCAAGAACAAGTACCCATTGCCTAGGATTGACGATTTGCTTGATCAGTTACAAGGGGCACGAGTCTTTCCCAAGATTGACCTTAGGTCGGGCTACCACCAGCTGAAGGTTAAAGCCGAGGACATTAAGAAGACAGCTTTCCGAACAAGGTATGGCCACTACGAATTTTTGGTAATGCCTTTCGGAGTGATCAATGCTCCTGCAGCGTTCATGGATTTGATGAACAGAGTCTTTAAGCCGTATCTAGATGAGTTCGTAGTGGTTTTTATTGACGACATATTGATCTATTCCAAGAGTACAATTGAGCACGAGAACCATCTGAGGCTTGCCCTGCGAATTTTGAGAGACAAGAAGCTATACGCCAAGTTGAGTAAGTGCGAGTTTTGGCTTTCCAACATCTCATTTTTAGGGCATGTGATTAATGAAGAGGGTATATCAGTTGATCCGAGCAAGATTGAGGCTATTGTGAATTGGCCGACGCCGACCAACGTGTCCGAGATTCGTAGTTTTCTGGGCTTGGCAGGTTATTACAGAAAGTTTGTGAAGGACTTCTCAAGGATAGCAGTACCATTGACACAACTAACTAAGAAAGGAACAGCATATGAATGGGCCGATGATAGAGAATCGGCTTTCCAAGAGTTGAAGACGAGGTTAGTTACGGCACCAGTTCTTGTACTTCCGTCAAGTAATGAGGAATTTCAGATTTTTAGTGATGCTTCACATAAGGGTTTGGGTTGTGTATTGATGCAAGGGGGCAAAGTCATAGCATATGCATCTCGTCAGTTGAAACTTCATGAAAAGAACTATCCAACCCATGATCTTGAGCTAGCAGCCGTGGTGTTTGCTTTGAAGATTTGGCGCCACTACTTGTATGGAGCCTCTTGCCAAGTTTTTACGGATCACAAGAGTTTGAAGTACTTATTCACCCAAAAGGAACTGAATTTGAGGCAGAGGAGATGGCTTGAATTATTGAAAGATTACGACATGCAGATTTAGGATCACCCAGGTAAAGCAAACTCGGTAGCCGACGCGTTGAGTAGAAAGTCAGTGGGAAGTTTGGCATGCCTAGCAGTGATTTGAATGGAGCCGACTACTATTGGGGAAGTAAAGACAAGGCAAATGGAGGATGGATTCCTAAAGAAAGTAGCTGACGAGATTACCACCAAGCCGAAGTCGGGTTACACCCTTGAGAATGGAGTGCTTAAGTTTGAAGGAAGATTGTGCGTGGCCGACGTCCCAGAATTGAAAAGGAGGATTTTGCAAGACTCTCATGGATCCAAATTTGCAGTTCATCCAGGGAACACCAAGATGTATCAAGATGTAAAACAGACCTTTTGGTGGCCGAATATGAAAAGAGAGATAGCCGAGTTCGTGTCTCAATGTTTGTATTGTCAACAAGTGAAAGCGGAACATTAGAGGCTGGCAGGACTTCTCCAACCTTTGCCGATCCCTGAGTGGAAATAGGAATACATCTCCATGGACTTCGTGACTGGGTTGCCGAAGACACAGAAAGGAATGGATTCGATTTGGGTTATAATCGACAGGTTAACTAAGTCAGCGCATTTCTTGCCAGTTAGGACTTTGTTCAGTGCCGATCGACTTGCTGTGTTGTATATGAATGAGATCATTAGACTTCATGGTGTGCCGATGTCCATCGTGTCAGACCGAGATCCAAAATTTGTTTCTAGATTTTGGCAGAGTTTACAAAGGGCTTTGGGGACCGAATTGAGGTTTAGTACAGCTTTTCATCCGCAGACCAATGGCCAAATAGAGAGAACAATTCAGACACTTGAAGATATGCTTAGACTGTGCGTATTGGACTTCAAGGGAAGCTGGGAAGTGCATTTGTCATTAGTAGAGTTCGCTTACAACAACAGCTACCAAGCTAGCATTGGCATGGCGCCGTATGAAGCCTTGTATGGGAGAAAGTGCAGATCGCCGATATGTTGGACCGAAGTAGGAGATAAAACTTTGATCGGCCCGGATTTAGTTCAAAGAACAACCGAAAAGATTAAGCTTATCCAACAGAGAATCAGAACCGCTCAGAGTCGACAAAGGAGTTACGCCGACCAGAGAAGGAAGGAGTTAGAATTCGAAGTAGGGGATCATGTGTTCCTGAAAACCTCGCCGATGAAAGGAGTTTCAAGATTTGGGAAGAAGGGTAAATTGGCACCCCGTTACATTGGACCGTTTGAAATCCTTGAGAAAGTTAACCCGGTTGCCTACAGACTTGCTTTACCACCGAGATTAAGTCAAGTTCATAATGTGTTTCATATCTCGATGTTGGGAAAATATATACGGGATCCACTACACGTGATCGATCATTTCAGGATTGTGGTTGATGAAGGCCTAAGCTATGAAGAAGAGCCGATACGCATCATCGATAGACAAGTGAGACGATTGAGAAATAAGGCAATACCGATGGTGAAGATTGAGTGGAAAGAGCATTACGGCAAGGATGCTACGTGAGAAATGGAAGAGGAAATGAAAGTCCGATACCCGGAGTTATTCTCGAACCAAGGTAACTCAAGTTTAGGGACCAAACTTCTTTAAGGGGGGTAGGATGTAATAACCCTCACGCTATCCTAACCATACTCATATGCATTCATGTGAATCTGTCTTGTAAACTTGCATTTCGAGTCTTGTCCTTGTTTGTTAAAGTGTTACAGCATGTTTTGTACCCTGCTTGGTGTGAGTTTAGCCGAGGGCATC